GCTCACACTTCACTGCCCAGAAAATCAGCAAAGATTTCTACCCAGTTTTCCCCCACGCTTAGATTTTATGAGAAACGTGTCCTCGAGGTATTTTATAAAATTGCTGTGAAAATTACATCCGCTTGGCGTAGAAACGCCTCATGCCCACGCTATAGTGTCGAAAACACATGGAACCCGCTTTTGTGGCAAGGATCCCGAATCAATGTGACATTCGTATTCAGGGAGTCAACCTCGGATGATGAGTTGCCAGCAAAATCGTTAACTTGAGATGTTTTGCCGCCTAGGCCTGGAGCGTGGGCGTTGTTTTTTAATGGGGATATCTCTATAATCTCCGGAACTTCTCGTAAGCCCGCATTCGAGACCTGATTTTTGCAAAACGAACATAAGGGATAAATAATTCACGGTTATCCAGCAACAGTGGGGTGTGGCCGAGCGTCCTCTTGCAGCCCTTCTAAAAGTTGCGTTGGCAGCAACCGCCCTTTCCCTGCCATCATGCCTACTGTTCATGACTGGCTGCGGCGCATATTCGAGTTAACAGCGAATATTCTGAATGTTTTATTCAACACTTTCTCTTCTGAATCGGCCTGGACACCGCAAACAATTGAGTTACTAGGCGAAGCAAAGTAGTTGCCAGAAGTCTCACCTGTAAGGTTGTATACCTGAATAGCCCGTAAAACTCGTGCACGATTATTTGGATGGACAAGGCGTGCCGAATCTGGATCCACCTAAAAAATTCCTTTTCTAATAATCTTCTGAATTCAAATTTCAAAGGTAGGTCTTAAATTAAGAGCACTAATGAGAGACCAACCGCAAACTGATTACAATCAATAGTGACAGCTCTTTGTGCAGCACTGGCTGCCTTCTACTGACCGCAATTTCCTGTCGCCCGTTCTAACGAATGTCCAAAAAATCCGAAAGGATTACCATAACTGTCTTTTCACCCTCTTAGAACTTCTCTAGTTATACGATGGAACTTACCTCAACCAACCTTTGATGTAGTTCAGCATTTGACAGCTCACTAAGACCTTCACTACCATCAGAGTCATTTTCAGATCCTAAAAGTCTAGCGAAACATTCAAATATCCCTTCAACTACACGGAACAGGGAGCCTAACATCAACCCTAATACAAATCTTAATTCGAAATCGAATCATATCCACTGGTTTCAATATAATATTTTCCTCAATAGAAGACTTTCAACATGTTAGCCGTACCGCACCACAACTGGTATGGCCGCGAGATCTTCATTTCCTGAAAGAACAAAGAATCCTTTAAAACATAGAAAAAAGTGACATAAGCAGAGAAGAAGGAAATAACGAGAAATAAAAGCATGACAATGTTTAACAGCGATCCATTGTAGAATGATCAAGTCATATCAATCTAGTATTGGGAATTCTGTATCAAACAAGTCGAAAATCCTGGACGACGAATTGGGTTACAATGACCCAAAACACTTTGTAGACTAGTCTTGAAAACGCCGCTTCATCAGCGAGCCGCCAGCAGCAGACAATAGGCATCTGCCTAGTCGTGCCGCGTGTTGCGTACCTAAGGCGAGCTTCAGTTGCATTTAGAAACATAAAAGAACTCCAGCTATCACAATCTTGCCTGCCCTTGCCAGTCCCTTGAAAATCGCGGAAGCGGACATTTCTACAGCTCTAGACCAACCCACTTTTTCCATGAAACCAACTCACTTTTTTTCTCGCGCGGGGGAAGCGGGAAGCGTTTATTAAAAGGTGAAAGCTATATTCATGTTGTTTAGCTGTAAGCTGTTGACCATACACTGTTGTTCACAACTTACGATACCTTCATAAGGGTAAATATTCAAAAGCAACTTTCCACGTAACCTACCTCAACTTGCCTTTAGACCTTCTGCACGGAACTGATGAATGTTGTACCTTGCTGTAGCAGCGTCAACAAAACTCATCATGTGATGAGGAATCCCTTCTGCCTCTTCTTTGGTTATCTTGTTTGTGGCAATGTCGAGTCCTGAAAGTGAGATTGCTCGATTTGAGCATAATCATTTCAGGGATGCAGTCAAAAGAGTAAGACATCGTGGGATGCTGCACAGGGTCCGTCAGTGAACGCAGTCCTGCCACTGACTTGTATATCCAGTTTATAGCATGGCTACCAGAGCGAGATTGTTCCGTTCATTAGAAACGAAGAAAAATTCATTCCAGAGAGATTTGCTGTGCAACAGCGGTCAAATGGCGTTTCGCCCTCGTTGCTCTACCAATGGCGATCGGGTAACGATTTAGGGAGGGAGCAACCAATGATGGAATGCGAGCCGCTGATTGCGACCCGACAATTGCAGTGATGTAAAGTGTATACCTTCAAGGATGGTCCTTTCCATGTGCGAGGTGAACTGGTTCGCACTTGCAAGAAGTGCCATTTATCCCGCTCAGCATGACAACAGTGCTGGAGAGGGAATGTGCGGCACTTGCGTCGAAACCAAGATCCCGTCGTGAACACAACCAGAAGTGAGGGGACGCCGACAATTAGCGCGTTTAGCTATGGGCAGCTGTACCAGCCGTCCACGCAAGGCAAGGACCATAGTCCAGAGACTAGTGTACGCTCTGAGTTCAAGCAGTCTGTAGACCAGTTAGAACGAGGAGTTCACAATACACAAGTCACGCATGCGCTGAACTGTTGCCCCTACGTGGGGCAACACGTTCATATTGACGTAGGGTTAAAACCGTCTTCAAAACTCATGCTATAAGTTTGTTTCTTCCACAAGCTCATTGTTTCTTTCACATGTATTAGGTTGGCTAATAAGTAATGGCCGTTTTTTTCAATTGAAAAATTTGTTCGAAAAGTGAAACGTTTTGCAAGCAAGTTATATATCATCTGATAGGAAACTTCTCGTAGTATAAGAATA